TTGCTCAGTTAAATCAAATATTATATATCCTTCTATCCGTGGCAGTCATCGATCAGTTTTTTTATTCTCATCTTTGCTAGCTCAACTCCCTTTGCCGTGTGTGTGTGTGTGTGTGCGTGTGTGACACAATGATGGAATATCAGCCAAAATAATCAAAACATTAAACTAAAGAAGGCATCTCACACCAGTTTACTATTTTATTTTATTTGCGTCACCCAGCTGATTTCAGTGCTACTTTGATATAGGCCGTCGGAATTAAAAATAATGGATCCCGTATGACGCTTTGGATGATATGAAATTACTTCCACCATATGACTATATGAAAAGCGATGCTTGTTAGGTCGCATTGCTTATTCTGGATGCAAATTTGGAATTTGTCATCAAACACGATTTAGTAAATAAAACAAACGAGTAAATAAACAAATAAACAAATCCTTCTATCCTTGGAATGGGTCTTTCTCTCTCTCTCTCTCTCTCTCTCTCTCTCTCTCTCGTGTGTGTTTGCTGTCAGCTGTTTCACAATCAGGGGTACAAAATAGGGGCCACATTGAGAGAAAAATGAACTCTGATGCATTTGTGTAATTTTGTAAAAGATAAAAAGAATAACATCTTAACTATGATATCTACAATTTTTAGAGCACAATATTAATTACTTTTTTGTGCTACGCTCAAATTAACAGAACGCCCCTTAGACTATGATCTGGGGGTACGGACACTACACATTCAAGTAACTGATGTTTTTGTAACTGAAACATCATATTGTTTACCAGTTATTTTTGCCAAAATTCTAAAAAATATCAAACTAAAGATATAACAGCAGTACTTTAACCAAAAGGATACAAGTACATGTATTTATCAAAGAGTTTTTTAGAAAAACACCTGAGCACGTTTTTCAGTGGATGCTGGAGCTTGGTTGTGTGTCATTCAGTGTGACTTTTACTCACCAGACTTTAATTTTAACTTTTCTTTCTGTTGCTTGACCTTTTTTAATTATTCATTTTTTTTGTTTTTTTTTTTTTGTTTTTTTTTTTTTTTTGTTTCAGTCTTGATTCCTGTTTTTGAAGTCCTTTCTTCTTTTTCGTCTCTCATTAATTTGCACCTCTTGTTCTACTGTTTTCAGGATTATTGGGTTTCTGCTTCTCCTTAACTCTCTGTCAGCATGCCCTAATTTCTTCTCTTTACTTTAGTCTTTCTTGCTGGGCCAGCCTAGGATGATTCTTCATTTTTTTTTCAGGATCCCTTTTTCTTTCCCTATTTGGCTTTTTTTATTGTCATCCATATTTGATACTTCATTCACTGAGAGTATAATAAATGTACTGTTAATTATGCATATATTGAAGTGTTCGTACCGCCTCAATATATATCATATACATTAATCCATAGAATATTAATCCATATACAGTTTATTATTTTGCAATTAGCTATATTTGGCAATATATTCAAACCAATATTGTTAATTTTGAATGCAAAGAGTAGCATCTTTACTGATATTATTTCTATGCAAAATCTCTTGCCTGACTCTAATTAATCAGTATCACTTTATCGAATATATATTTATATACAATGTTTTTTTTAAACATCACAAGACATGAATGCATTTTATATAGTCTAAAACAATATTTTGTACCATATTTTGATGTTTATCATCATTGATAAGTAGCCAGTTACCCAATGGTTAATGTATAACTTGGGGGTACGGACACTACATTTGGCACCAAATTCTTGCATATCTTTTCATAATAAGGGGTTATGTGCTATTTTCTTCCTGCAAAATAAATGTCAGTGTAGACATTATAGAATAATAAAATCAGACAGAATATGC